GACTCTTAATAGGTAATGTGGTAATAGGACACTTGATACGTAGACTTTTAACCATCCTGTTGTAATAAGACATTTGATACGTAGACTCTTAATAGGTAATGTGGTAATAGGACACTTGATACGTAGACTTTTAACCATCTTGTGGTAATAGGACACTTGATACGCAGACTTTTAACCATCCTATCGTAATAAGACATTTAATACGTAGACTTTTAACCATCTTGTGGTAATAGGACACTTGATACATATACTTTTAACCATCCTGTCGTAATAGGACACTTGATACGTAGACTTTTAACCATCTGCACAATATTCCAACATTTACGTAAGCTTTATTAATTGTTTCAGTAAGACAAGATAATTAAAGGTTCATGTAAAATTTATCAAATGTTTTAGATTACAGAGAAACAAACATTCACGTACATTTCTTCCAGCGTGTCAGTATATCGAGATATTATGGATTCACGAAGACTTCTTCAAGTACTTCACCGTGACAAGGGGATTATCTTTCACGGTTTCTTCAAGTGACAGGTAAAAGTCAACGTGTCAAGTGTTCTATTACGACAGGATGGTTAAAAGTCTACGTATCAAGTGTCCTATTACCACAAGATGGTTAAAAGTCTACGTATCAAGTGTCCTATTACCACATTACCTATTAAGAGTCTACGTATCAAATGTCTTATTACACAGGATGGTTAAAAGTCTACGTATCAAGTGTCCTATTACCACAAGATGGTTAAAAGTCTACGTATCAAGTGTCCTATTACCACAATATACTTCCTTGGGTGATTCACTGGGGTAGACATTTACGTAAGTTTCTGTGAAAGTTTGATTATCCTGTTGCTGTTAAACACTTCCAAACGCTCACGTAGAATTCTTCAAGTGTTCACCACCCATAACAACGCTATCAAACGCTCACGTAGAATTCCGCAAGTGTTCACCTTGCATGCTAATGTTATCAAATGCTCACGTAGTATTCTTCAAATGTTCACCATGCATGACAACGCTATCAAACGCTCACGAAGAATTCCTCAAGTGTTCACCTTGGATACTAATGTTATAAAATGTTCACGTAGACTTTCCTGAGTGTTTGCCACGCACAACAACATGATTTACGTAAAGTAGATTTTCTTCAGTGTTTAACCATGTAAGGATAACTAAACGTACACGAAGACTTTGTTAAGTGTTTAACCGCAACAGGATAATCAAACTTTCACAGAAACTTACGTAAATTTCTACCCATGTACTTCCTTGGGTGATTCTAGCGTTGTTATGGGTGGCGAACACTTGAATAATTTTACGTTAGCGTTTGATAGTGTTTTAATGGATGGTGAACACTTGGGGAATTCTACGTTAGCGTTTGATAGCATTGTCATGTATGATGAACATTTGAGGAATTTTACGTGAGAGTTTGATAGCGTTATCATGGATAGTGAACACTTGAGGAACTCTGTGAGTATTTGATAGCGTTTTATGTGAAAATATACCGTGTTTTGTTAAAGGTTTGACGAATTTCGCATTATCCTGTCTCTTGTCATAATGGCAGATTTCAGAAAGTCTCCAAGATTATGTGAAGAAAAGATAACAGATAAGTTTACATAGAAAAATATATAAACAAACATGTAAGCTCATTCCTGTGTTGAAACCTAGAACCCGAGTTAAGCGATCTGCTCGTTTCGGTAACAGAAACTTTCTTCACTGACCAATATACTGTACATTCTGGAAACGTACATTCACACTTGTGCGATCGTCCTTCTAGGATAAATATTCGTTTAAGGCTTCCAATAAGCTACGGCATAGACAAAATAACATAATTTATCGTTACTCGTAAAAAATTACAAATGTGAATTGGATTGTTGTTCGTGTTGTTTAATCCTGAAAAGTTTGTTTGTTTGTTATGGATTTCGCACAAAGCTATACGAGGGCTATCTGTGCTAGCCGTCCTTAATTTAACAGTGTACGACTAGAGGGAAGGCAGCTAGTCATCACCACCCACCGCCAACTCTTGGGCTACTCTTTTACCAACGAATAGTGGGATTGACCGTCACATTATAACGCCCCCCACGGCTGAAAGGACGAGCATGTTTGGTGTGAGGAACCCTGAAAAACAGCTTACAGTGAATTGTTAGATGTTGAGAAAGAAATGACAGGATGTGCCGAACTTAAATGCGTATCTCTAGAGACATGGGTCTATATTCTTATTGGTGTGTGTAAACGTTGAAAAGGAAGAATACTTTATTTCTATGTCTTTGATGAGCATATCTATTCTGAATGTTTTTGTCTTTCAATCTACTAGTTGTAATTATTATGTACAACCGGATGTGAGAAAAGTAAACTTGTAACACAAATCGAGAAGCGATATTCCTTTCAAGTATCTTACAAATTATCCATTACAAATATGAAATTAAAATCAAAATTTCATTACTACGAAACTTATTTCATTTTAACTCAAAATTTTAGATAGTGAAAACTCTATGCGTTAGTTTTTTTTTGTTGTTTTTGAGCAAAGTCACATTGGGCTATCTGCTGTGTCCGGAAACTTAATGCTGTCCCATCGGGGTACAACTATACGCGAACGGACGCTTAATTTATTACGTAACTTTGCTTAATTTTAATTCTAAGGTATCTTTCAGCCACACAAATCGGTTTTATTCATGTTTTTGGTAAAAACCTCAGTAGATTATTTTTTTAACCGTAAATTAAGATACGAAGGTTTTTTGTCGTAAAATATTATAACAAAAGAAGCAAAACGTTTACATACAATTTTCCTTTTCAATCACTTCATTATTTATTAAGACATATTTTGTTCGTTATTCTGATGTAGTTTTTATGTATGTATCACACGTGCCTCAACAAAAAATAGTTTTTAAGTTTGAAAAAATGCTTGGTTTTAGAACATTCTTTACAGTCTCACTATAAAAAAAATTACACAACAAAGGTAGTGATTTCAGTCTATTATTCAATATATATAGATTCTGCGTCCATTATGCCCTCCCCGTGGTTTAGCGGTAAGCTTGAGGGCTTAGAATGTTATAAGTCTAGGTCCGATACCCGAGGTGGACACAGGCCAGATAGCGCATTGCTTTAAAGTTAAAACCAAACAAACAAACACCGTCTATCATTTGATGTAATCAGTGACTAAAATATATTATTATAGATAATTACAACTCTTTAATTAAAGCATGTTTGGAGAAAAAAAAGTTCTCTAGGGTTGGGAAATAATCTAAAACGATATGAACAACTTTACGTGGTAGATGATACTGGGTAGCTT